ACTCGAACTCCGCCTTTTCTCATTCAATCCAGCAAAGCAGATCCATTCAGAAGGCATTTAGTCCCATTTCTTTCTTGGCCGGTAAACCTATTCATCAATTGTTCTGCCTTGTAGATTGCATTCTCATGTTAATCTAGCGTGTTAAATATCTTTTTGTTCTCCTTTCACCGTTTTGTTATTCAGTTTATCCAGTTTTGGTCACCCATTTATTTATTTATGCGCCTGCTTCTATTCAGCGCTCATGTATTTTTGATTATGTTGTTTCACTGTCATGCAGTGTCAACTCACTCTATTCAATACGGGCTACTTGAAGAGGTAGTGGGACAAAGCGTGTACACATTGCATTGCTTTTCACTCTGGCCAGCTGGATGGGCTGTAAAAAAAACCTTGTGAAAAGAGAGACCCTTACAAAAGCCGAGAATGACTGCACAATGCTAACAGTTTTCCAAATACCACTGATTGGTTTCCACACAATGAGGCAAAAGCCGCCGTTTTTTCTTTGTCCACTTCAACAAACAACACTCTCACAAAACCTCCCAACCCAGGGGTTTGTTGGAGCACAAAACCTCCTCGACTGGATAAACGCGCCAAACGAAAGTTCCTTTCAGATCCGTTTTCTACGTCTGCAGTAGAAAAGAAAAAGGGAGAGAGTGAGTGAAACGGGGGGGTGGGGAGAAGTGGTGTTGGTGGGAGTAGTGGGGGCGGCCTGGAGGAATGAACGGTGAATTAATGCCGGCTTTTCTACTCTGGTTGTTATCTGCACTTATGTTTCGGGAAAGGAGACAGCAGCAGAGACAGTTCTTTTGGCTTTCAACGTAATCAGGGAAACAGGTTGTTTCTGTGTCTGACATGTAAAAGTGGCAATGCTCGTATCAAACCAATCCGGATGGGATCTCTCTTTGTATTACCATCCATCTTTCCCTCTCTCTCAGGCTTTTTTAAAAAAAACAACAAAATGATAATATCAACCACGACCTCTAGTTATTTGGATTGACAAAGAAGGTTCGGTTTATTCTCCAAAACTGCACCTTCGCTTTACACTCTTGCTGCGAGAATGACACCGGACACGTTCAACTTGGCAGTTTGGTGTGGGGGGAATATGGTGGAGATATTCACCACGAGATCTGCTCTCGGATTCGGTTATATAAGGGAGTTTTAAACAGAAGCAAGCGTCCGACAGAAGCTTTCGCCAAGTAAATGTGCCTTTCCCTCATTTTGATTTCCCAACTTCCCACTATGAACTGTGGACAAACAAGGACTGCAATTGCTGCTGAGGCGGGAGATTGTCAAATGCAGTGCATCTTTTCTTTAGTTCCTTACTTAGAAGGTTTTTTTTCCAAGTTGTAGTTCCCGTCAGTGTTTTGAGGTAGGCGGGTGTTCTGGTGTAGGCATATTATCATACTGTATATAGTTGCCAGTCACTGATAGCTGGAGGCAATCCTCTCCTCGCCCGGCACTCGCATTCCCACCAGGAAAGGGGAAGTTGCGTGCGGCGTAGTGCTTGTGTATGACAACTGCAAAGTGGCAAGGAATTGATAGGTTTAATTAACCATGTCGAAGATAATTACTGTGGACAGAGAAATTAGTTCACTGTGATCACCCAACTCTATATTAAACAGGTCAAGGGTCAGTTCATTTCATTCCATGACTGTTCATCACAAGCAATAACAGGGGCAAGAGAAACCTGGAAATAAATAGCTGTAGATTCTTATCAACTCATTTTTTAAAAAACGCATTGTACAAAACGAAAAGGATATGGACTGAATACCTGTTGAAATATATTTGTGAATCAAGTGTATTGCATGATTGTGTAGGTATAAAATAAACACGAAACATGATCCACGAGGCATGTATATAAAGTCCATTGGCAAGCTACGAGATCTAACAATTTCTGAAGAGAACAGTTTCCAAATTAACGAAAAATGCCGTTTGTAAAATTCTGCGGAATTTAACGCCAGCTTCAATAAGATAATCTCAGGTTGTTTGAATGACCCACGAATATTTACTCCTGATTTTCGGTGGAACCGGTAGATAACCATCATTTCGACAACTAAACGAGAACATCTTCTCCGTTTTTATTTGACTGAACTTTTGTCCCCTCCTTTCCATTTTGGTTATAACCCGACAGATCGATTTAAAAGCCAGCTTTCTCTGGTGGTGAATTTCCGAGCTGGCCGATGCCATATGAAGCTCAGTAAAGTTCAGTTCTGACTGGACTGCGGTGCAAGGTTGAACAGTGTCTGTGCGGGACCGCAGGCTTAAAACTGAGCCAAGAAGCATGATTGTCAAAAAAATCGCATATTTCTGAAACATATCCGTGGATTCAAAGGGGGCTGTGCACACTGAATCTCGCATTCTCTGAGATGGGAAGTTTTCAACGCTGATTCTAATGTAAAAGAACTCACAATTCAATGATGGGGCAATGGAATGCTGTGTTGCGTGAGAATAAGGATCTGGGAATTTCGCGCTCAGTCCACTCACAACCCATCTCATCCAATACCATCAGTATCCTCCGCTCCGAGACCAGACGCTCAGTCACAGTGCCGGTTTCCTGTGGTCTGCAGGCACACAGCCAATCATTTAAACTCCCCTCCCAGCCCCAACACCCCTGTCCCATCACTCTTCTCACACACATCTGTTCATGCGATTCTTCAAATATTTCCCCCTCTCTCTATCAGGCCAACTAAAACATTACGCCTTGAAAAGTAACGAGGACTGTAATGCAAGTTTGCTAATTTTGGTTTCTCTGACACCCTTTTTCTCTTATTTACTAAAATCGGAAAGTCTATGTACTAAACAGACAATGAAGTGGAGAGATCCTAAACCCGCTAGTTGAAGAAAAAATGAGTTAGCATTTGGTAATATGAGGTTGTTGGCTACAGTGTGGAGTTGTTCTGGGCTCTGTGTACTAACTGAGTTTGTCAGATAATACACAATCTGTATGGAGACACTGCTAATACAAAGAGAAATAAGGAATAAGAAAAAAATAAGAAAGTAAGAATAAATAGTCTGCGCAAAAATAGGTCAACATAAACCTATACAGCGTTACAGCTTGCTGCTCAGTTAAGAGGTTGAGCAACTGACAGGAGTGCCTGGAAAACACGACCCGTTGGGTATTTCAGATAACAAGGTGTGGAGCTGGATGAACACAGCAGGCCAAGCAGCATCAGAGGAGCAGGAAGGCTGACATTTCGGGCCTAGACCCTTATTTGGATGCTTAAGGCAGTGTTTACACTCTGAGGGTTTAAGCAATAGAATTTGCTTAGAATTCTTAAAGTTCACATTTTTCTAACAACAGTACAGGGAGAAATGTCAGTGCGACTAGCTAAATGGCTTTTATGCTTTCTCCTGCGCTTTATGACCAAATTACATCCGTTTTATTTCAGTATTTTAACATAGATAAGCAGCCCGCCGATAATAATAAGCATTTGTCCAAGGCGGCAGTGGAATTTTGGGTGCTCAGCAATATACATTTTAAAACGATTCAAGCGCATCTTATATGTTGCGGACGTTTTGTGTGTTTACTGTTATGCTTACATAAAGCAACAAACAACAAACAACTCATGATCGGAGATGTCACAACATTTCAACTTCACCATAATCCAGCGCTCAGTTTCGGTTGCACCCTTCCTGTGTTAGTAAAGAGGAGCGACCATAGTTGTTCTTAAAATCTACACTATATGAAACTCTACACTCTATATCTCAAATCCCGCACAAGCCTGGCTGTCCTGCGTGACTTTAAATTGTGAGACCTAATATTTCAGGGTGTGAACCAGACATCGGGCGGCGACAGCCATAAACTCGGCCGGTCTAATCCCTCTTTTAAACAGGGGCAGAAACAGTCTCTCGTCTCCCTCTAAGAAGAGGGACAGAAACAGTGCCTGTTTCAGGGACTGAGTTTAACAATTTGCTCACGTCCGACCTGGACTGGGAGAGTAGTACGTCACCACGCCCTACAATTTTTTTTGTGACAGCGAAGTAAGTGATCTCGTTCTCTCTGTGAGGTGTAACAATTCTCTTTAAAGTTCTCCACATCCCAAAAGGGACGGACAGGATAACAGTGTTCGCGGTGTGTGTCACAATATCGTTAGCTACCGCCAGTGCTGCACCAGGTTACATATTTCGTTGCTGTGCAGTCAGCTTTCTTCCGCTTGTTCAAACAACATGTTTTAGCGGCGAGAATAGCGGTACATTTCACATTTCATTCATGAGAGTTTAACAAACACAAATTCAAACATGGTTGAGATGGTAGCGTTGAAACAATTAACATGCCGGTTATGCTGTTATTTGAAGGACAAGGGAACCATTTTAATTTTTTTTTTAAATTGAATGCATTGAAAAATCAGAAAGATGTTTTGAGATTGGATCGGATGTACCCAGTTTCTACATGCCAATCCCAGAGGCTGTGCACTTCGCGTTTAGGCAGAAATACTTTACCCCCTGTAAACTACTTCCGCATTCATCAGGAGTTGGTCGCCTTCAACAAGCAATTGTGCTATTTCGATCAATTCCCAGACTCGTGAGAACATCTCTCAAAATCTATCAATCACGATCTCCCGATAAATTACCTTTCACTTTACAGACGGTACCAAGAATATTTCGTATCCGTCCGACTTTTTTTTAAAACAAAGAAATGGGCTGTAATGGTTACCAGTGAATCTCTGCATGACCGGGTTGGTTTGTTAAATAATAACTTCCGATAAGACTTATCGGTTGCAATCAAGTCCTTGATTACTCTCGCTTAAACAACACGCCAGCTCACAATGCAGCAATAAAACAGGAGCCAAACAGTCAGTGAGATAGTGTCAGGGCAGCCTTGAAACTAAAGGAAATCTGACCATTCCACATGAATTGTGTATTAGAGAGAAGTTAGCCGATCTGCTTGACCTGTAACGATTGGGTAAACATTTCAGGAACAACGCCTTGACTGGTTGTGTGAGGTTGCGTGCGAAAGACTGCGCATGTGCCGGAGTCTTTACCTGCTTTCGGACTGAGCTTCACATGGTCTCCAGTGATCGTCAGCCTTCCTTCACTGCGAAGCAACCAGAGCGTGTGCCTAAGGAGAGAGGGCGGCCTGCCTTCCCGAGGAGCAACGAAAACACTGACAGAGAGGGAGAGGGGACTGCCAGCTAGTCACATAACTTGGGGCATCTGCCTTGGGGCTGGGTGTCTATGACTGCTGCAGGGAACTCACTTTGGGCGAACGCAATTGTCATGACTGCAATCTGGTGAACCAAGTGAATTCAAAAAAAGGAAAGTTGCAGCGGAAGTTTGGGGACAGCAGACAGCTGCCTGGTGTTGCTGGTTTTAGAACTGAAGTTTGGGGCTGTTAACTGCGACTGTTACTGATTCCTCTCTCACTCGCCTAGTCCATCACCTCCGAACCCCACTCCACCTGGGGTGGTTTGTCACGATGTCTAAAGCCGCGGATCACGTTAAGCGGCCCATGAACGCTTTCATGGTGTGGTCCCGGGCGCAGAGGAGAAAGATGGCCCAGGAAAACCCCAAGATGCACAACTCGGAGATCAGCAAGAGGCTGGGAGCTGAGTGGAAGTTGCTCAGCGAGTCCGAGAAACGACCTTTCATTGACGAGGCCAAGCGGCTGCGGGCGCTGCACATGAAAGAGCACCCGGATTATAAATACCGGCCCCGCCGCAAACCCAAGACCCTGCTCAAGAAGGACAAGTTCGCCTTCCCTCTGCCTTATCTAGCCGATCAGGACGGCCTGAAGGCGGCAGCGGGGCTGCCGCCCAGCGGGCTGCCGGACTCTCTGCTGGGCTCGGCCGACAAAACCCGGCTGCTGTTCCCGCACCCCGCTAGTCCGTACCCGCTCTTCGACACCAGCCCGCTGGGTTCCAAGCTGAGCGAGCTGTCCTCAGGCTCGCTGCCGTACGGGTCGCCGCTGGCTTACCAAAGCGGGGCGGCCGCGGCCGCAGCGGCGGCCGCCGCCTTCAGCGGAGCTCACACTCACAGTCACCCGTCCCCCGGGAACCCCAGCTACATCCTGCCTTGTAACTGCAGCACCTGGCCGCCCTCAACCCTGCAGCCACCCCTGGCTTACATCCTCTTGCCCGGGATGAACAAACCCACGATAGAACCGTATCCTGCCGCTTATGCAGCTGCCTTATGACGACAGTCTCAACAAAATGACAAAGTTTCCTTTAATTCAAAAACAGGATCGCACTCGTTGCTTACCCACCCCGGAACATCCCCTCCCCCCTAAAAAAAACTTCAGAGACTTGGAACTGGAAGTTGTGATTCAGTCAGGCGTTACCTGCTTGCCGAGTACCTTGGAACCAACTTGTCTCAAACTGTTTTTTTTTGCGGGGGGTGGTGGGGGCGGTGGTGCTCGAGGGAAGTAGACGGGGATTGACTGTAATTGTTTGTAAAGGAAAGCCAATTCTAATCGATTGTTCAAACTTACCTGTGTGTCTCTGTGCGTATTTATAAATACATTTCCTACCACGGACTTGGATGAGCTAGACGACTGTTTCCTTTTGCTGCAGTCACCTTACCTTATTTCAAAGGAGATATTGATGTAAATGTCTGTGCACAAGGAGCCACTGCAATCCCGAATATTGCACATGGAGATTATGAAATAAACTACCCGGCTGCGTTGTTCAAATATTCTACTTTGACAGAACCTGCATTCCAGACTTTCAAATTGTAAGGCTGTATAAGACAAAATCACTATTGTTCTTGTGAATAGCTGCCAGTATCCGCGAAACGCCCCGAGGAAGACAGTGCATTTGTAAATGTAGCTTCTATTTGTTACTGGATGTCTCCACCATCCGCCGTCGCCAAGAAAGTGATGCTGGAGACCTGTAACTAACCCCATCCCAAACAAACGCGGAAGGGTGACCGGACCCGAAACGATAACTCTGATTTTTTTCTTCACAGATGCTGCCAGATCTGCTGAGCTTTTCCAGCAACTTCCGTTTTTGTTCCAAACAGACGTGGATTGCGGGAAAGGAAAGCGGAAACCAAACATTGTAAATGTGTACACTTCGAAAGTTGTTACTGCATGATTGGTTCACACTTTGTCTAATTTTTCCCCTTACCACAACGGCCTTGCTCTCTGCTTGACGTCTTGGATTTAATGAAAACATACCCGAAGATGTGACCTGTCTCCAAAGGCAAGAAACAAACAAAAACAAAGGGAGCAGAGCGAAATTCTTGCCGTGGGTGAAGCGGTCACTATTTTGCCTGTTTGTATTTATTGCTTAGCTGGACTGAATTTTTTAGTTCCCCCTCCCCTGCCTCCGGCCAGACATTGGACTATTGTCAGTCCTTTCGAGTAACATTTGCACATGAAACAAGTCATATCTGACCTCAGCGTTCAGTCTAAAGGATCAAACGCAAAATAAAGTACAAATTAATAGAATACCAGCTGCACTGTAGACAGTACAATAGGTCACATGTCTTCACCGAGTGACTGTGTAGAGCACACCAGAATGACCACTGACGCGGTCATCTGGTGCTAGCTTGTCATTGTTAATTGGCATTAGTATTACTGGCGGGACAAAATCAACTTCCGAATCCTCCGAGTTGCTGAAACCGTCGATTATTTTCCTCTACTGACAGGAGCACACAACCGGTGACAATTGCTAACTTGAAGAAGTGTCTATGACAAAGAACTGTGTTCACAAAGTGTGACCTTCAGCTGCACATAATAGGCAGACGTCGGCAAGATTTCCCACTGAAACATGCAAGTGTTAAAGTTAACATTAGCAGAGTCCAACAGTTTTGATGGAGTTTGCTGCGAGTTTCGGCGCAGCGGTTGTATCATTGCCGTAAATCTACTTTCTGGCGTGTTAGTTATAATTCAAGTGTTACGTGGGCCCAGCATGTTTTGACGTTTTTTAAATAAAATTACCATTTCTCTAACATATAAAAAATTCAAAGTGCGCGTTTTGCGAATCGTTATGAAGTTTAAAACAGTGCCGGTATTTTTTGTTTCTAATTTAATTGCATACGCTGAAAATTCTTGTATTTTTCGGGTTTGATTGCTACCCTGTTCAGTTGTTGAACACAGCGTTTTAATAAAGAAGGAAAGAGGAAAAAAAAATCGAATCCTTGTCTAGGTAACGCGATTTGTGTCTGGATTGGCCTCTTGTGTCCAGGTGAAGTGTAAAGTATCCTCTAAAGGATATCTTTGTTCCTTCTTTGAATGGAATGGCTCGGTAAATCTAAATCAAGTCATTGTTACGCCGAGCAGAAACCTGATTTATCACATTTTTATACTGAATAGGAGAAAAGATAAAACCATTTCGTTGTCCTTTAAAAACATTCGCGGTTCGTAAAGCGTAGTCCAGTTGAATACAATGCTGCTGTTCAAAAGAAACAGGTAGTTCATTGATTCCAGAAACACTTAAAAGCCGAATTTGCTTATCGAGTCAATCTATTGGTGTAGTTTCACTGGTTAAATCCTTGTAATTATTTCGAGTGCCTGAGGTTACTTCTCATTTACACCTTTGTGTGTGGGTGTGCTCCCCATCACCCTTTATGACTCTATACACAAGTTACTGCAGGTTAATTTTTGTAGAGACCGAAAACACCTTTTTTTTTAAACGACCGACGCGGTGATGAACCATTCAATACTTTCAGGGACAGTCCCTTACAGACAAGTGAAGAAAATAACTGCTGAGACACAGATGGATTAAAAAAAAGCGGGTGCGCTTAATTAGGATCAGGCTCGAGGCTGGTGACACCCGATGAGAGAAAGCACCTGACAATGATTTAACTTCACTGAATAGGATCTATTTATGTTTTATACTTAAATCTGAGTGTATTAATTGAAATGAAATTATATCATTGTGTTGTGAATGTCCTATTGCTGCCAGTAATAACAGGTACCATCATGGATGTATCTGCCACCTCGCCTGTCCGAGTGTCTGCCTCACTTTGATCTGCAAGCAGTGGTCAGTTCATTTGCGCTATAACGCAAAGCTGCTATTATGAAGGCCAAACATGATAGCAAATAAAAAGATGAAACAATGATTTTAGTACACGTTTTAATTTTTGAAAAAAAAACTACCTGACTTAGAGTACAATTCATTTCAATTGAAAAAAATGAAATAAAAGTCTCATAAAGCCCTGCGGGAGTAATGAAAATTTATTTCTCATCCTTTTATATTGACTATAATGTAGGTCTTTTTTCTTGAGGAGGTAAGTAATCATGGAGCCCTTGTGATTGGAAGATACATTTCAATTAATTCTGCCACAATCGTCTAATCTTTTCTTCATCAAAAGCTATTATGGTGTTAAAATTAACAATTATGCAACCAATGTCTGTCTGAATCCACAAGGGGACGCCGAAAAAGCTTCAGATAACACGACACGTATAAATCATTCATGAGAACAATTGATGGAAGAGAAGTTATCTGTGTTTTGAATGACATTGGAAGAACTAAATGGAACCCGCTCTGAGGGGACATTTTAACTTCATTGTCTACCTTGGTCTTTTCTCTTTTATTTCAGTGTAAGATACATTTTCAAAATTAATTAAGCATTAACAGCAAGATAAATACTTCTCTTTTATTCAGGGAAACAGTCGCCTCGTTCGTGAAAGCTCATTTCACTTGGAACAGCACCATTACATTGGCCGTTGCCAGATAAGGTGAAGAATGCTTTTTTAAACCAGCAAGAAACGTTTTGACAGATGATACAAAAAACGCCAAAAACCTGCAAACATGATTCCCCCCTTCCTCCCTCGCCCCAACACTATAATACTCGTAGCTTATTCCTTTACGCGCTTTCTGTTGCTTGAAGTACAGATACGAGTAGAAATAAGTGCCGTTTCGCAGCATCAAGCACTGGCTACGTACACACTTTATCGTGTATTTAAATCATTTGCCACATGCAACGCCGTCATTGCCATGTCCTTTAGATTGGCAGGAAATTGCAAACGTAACCAAATTAGCTAGTAAAAAAAATCCTGATATGTCTTTTGATTATATTTCCCTATTCATGTTTCCATATTTGTTAACTTTGCAAACCAAAACGTTATCCATGTTTTAATGTAATACTTTTAATCTTCTATTAGAACTCCCTCCCTAGTAAATACTGGCCTTGCCAGCTATGTCCACATCCCATTGACAAATTGAAGTCCAAACTAAAAAGAGAAAATGCTGCATATAGACCTCAGGCTGATCAGCATATTTTATTTACCTCTTTGGGCCCATGCATCTGACTGACTCCAGGCTGAGTTTCAAATAGCCTTTCTCTCTTTACAAAAACATAAATTATAACTATAACTTTTCTGCAAGGAACTTCATTCTTCATTCTGTAGACATCCAATATTTAGTCTGTAAATATTTTGCAACATCCTTCTATCACAATCTCTTAGACTTCAGTTATCAACTTCAGAAACAGATTGACAATGAAGAACATGCTACATATTAAAATAAATACATGCTGATGGTTGTCAGAAAATTTGATCACATATTGCATACACAAATCTGCTCACACTGTAGGACTTCAATAAAATGATGTGCAATATATTATATGTTCTACAAGTAACAATGAATTTCAGAGAGATTTCAGAGCAGACATCAACATAAAGTGAAGTCTAAACCCCTGATTAAAATGAATGCAGGATCCTTCATTAAGTCTTGTAATCTAGTTTGTGTACCACAGCCACAGATGATCTTGGTAAAACAGAATGCATTACTTTGGAGACATCACACATATTCTGTTATACGGTTATCTTGTTTGAGATGCTGGTTAGATTGGACACTGATTTACTTTAACTCTCATTGAAAGTGTGCTGTGAATCTATTTAATTTAAAGGAAATCATTTTGGAATTTTGGTTTTATATCAGTACATATGTGGACACTTGACAGTGTAACATGATCTTAGGCTTGTGCTTAAATAGTTAATTTTCCATGCATGAGATCATTCCTCAGCTACTTCCATAATGCTTGCTGCATCTACCTGTTACATATTTCAGTTTAATGACTGTATTTCAATATCTCATCAAATACTCAAATTACAATCATGTTGTTCTCTATTATGAAGCAGAAATGTAAACCAACCAACTGCCCTTATCTCAAATACCTGAATTGGAGCAGTGAGCCTGAGTGCAACATTCAACTTCAATAGAAATTTCTAGAGCAGTTTCACCTTATGTTATAAAAACTGAAACTGCTGTTAGACTATTATCGTGATCATAGTTAAAGTCAGTTTCAAAATGAAAATAATTGCAAGGTAAGATGAAAATTTCAGCCATAAGACTCAAGTATTTTAATTTTTGTGTTGGGTTTTCAAGTCAAGCATAAAATGTTGATACTGAGAGGGGATTTTGCACTATATTTCTGTTAATTACATATCATTTACAGTAGTATATTATCTGTTATCCATTATACTCTACAGTCCAGCTGTGAGTCTCAAACTTTTATGTTTTCCTATTTTGAACATTTTAAATTTTCCAAATGTTAAGCATTTGCTTTTATCTTAGATATATTTCTGTAAAACATCCTCATACTCAAACAATGGATTTGAGCTTATAAAAGTTAATATATTTGTTGCACATCCGTCATATATATTGCTACTATTAAATTATCAATTGCCCCTTTGATAAACAACTAGGTGAATAAATCATCAAATCCAGGAGGTTTCCAGATTTAATCCTCAATTTGTGCTGTGTTATGTAATCTCCACTGGGGTGGAGATAGGCTCACTGTGTAGGGTTAGGTGGTTTTCACTCCTGATTGCTATTTAGGATTGTCAGCCGGCATTATTTGAGGACAGGATCAAGCTCAGCTGTAATGTCCTCACTGCGACTTCCAGTCATGGACACTATCACCCCACAAAATACAAACATTAAATGTCAATGTCATTGAGGGAAAAGGCCATTTAGACAAGGGACTGAGAGTGAGTGATATCTGTGGATCCACTCCTGTTAAGCAGCCAGCATTTTCAGAGAAACAGGAAGAAAGGGGAAAAGTTGATGCAAGCGCAGACACTATTTTCCTTTACAAATATCTATAATACGAAGCAATTCTGTTCCACACTGGCACAATGTAGACTGACCATGACAATAATCTTAACATAACATAATTTAATCTAATAATAATTTACATTTAAACATAAATAATAATTTGATATACTTTTAACACCGTAACATGCAGCCAGACTGATTTCTATATTTTCAACAAGATTTTTGCAATGTCTGCACCTTTAAAAGCGAGAAGCAATGGCCTAGTAATATATTAATAGACTGTTCATTTAGAGATCCAAGTAATGTGCTGGGGACCTGGATTCTAATCCTGCCATAGCAGATGGTGGAATTTGAATTTAAACAAGTCTGCGATTAAGAATCTAATGATGCTCATTAAACCATTGCCAATTGTTAAAGAAAATCCCATCTGGTTCACTAATGTTCTTTAAGGAAGGAAACTACCTTCCTTACCTCGTCTGGCATACATGTGACTTCAGTATGGTTGACTGTTAACTACCCTCTGGGCAATTAGGGATGAGTGATAAATGCTGACTCAGCCAGGGAGGCCACATGCCATAAATGAATTTTAAAAAACAGGAATTTGGCTTACTGTCCCTTATGTTCTTGTTGCAAAATCCTGAAAGGTTTTTATTAATCTTGTGTTTATCTCTTGTCCGGAATTTGTACGGAGTCAATATTCAATTGGATAATATAAAATCTTTGACTGGCTAAATCAGGCTTATTAGTTCCTATGGTGTTAATGCAACTTGTAACATCACAAACCATCTGTAAAAGTTACAATGTAATCAAGGGTGGTAGTTTAACTGTAGCATGTCATTTTGCCGATGGCTGTTCAGGAAGTGGTTGCCATTTCTCATATGATTTCAATTAAAATATAAAGTTCCAGGACACGGATGTATTATATGCTGGGGAAACTTTTCAGCTGTGAAATCCACCATCAGCTTTTCTTTCTTCATTGGATGTGGGGCATCAATGGCTGGGCCAGTATTTAATGCCCATCCTTTATTGCTTTCTTGAATCACTGAAGTCTGTGTCGTGTAGGGACATCCACAGTGCAGTTATGAAGGGAGATGCAGGAAT